TATGACTAAATGCCTAGTCAGTTAAATAAAAGGGGAGCCCAGCGAGCTCTATTCATACCAATATTATACATTAAGCGAAATCAAATAATTTCAACAGATAGCTGGATAAATTGATAGGCTTAATAAATAAAATGAAATAAAATATAATTAAATATATATATATAAAGGGGCCCGTAAATCCGCCCCTGCGCAACGGTGTCAGTGGATTTAAAGCAAATACCCTTGAAATGGGATGTTAAAACAGTAACAAAAAAGTGTACACATTTATAATGGCAAGAGTTGGTAGTCCTTTGCTACGTTCGTTTTGGTTGTTAAAGTGTATAATAAACAATGTTAGCACAGTCTTTCAGTTTTTTTGTTTTGTATAATTGGAAAAAAGACACCTTGGAAATACAGGCGTATTTATAATATGATTTCTTTTTCGAATTAAGTTTCGTTTGTTATATTTTAGTTTGATTCTTTACAAGTCTTGGTCACTGTGTTTTTTTTTTCATTAATAAATAACAATTATAAACGCTTGATAAAACTTATAAAACCTAATATAGCAGTAAACTACTCTATTATTATCATACTAGTATAAAAACCCGTCAAAAATGACAGGAAACCATTGTTCAATGATTAACGAAAATCATAGAATTTAACTAAAACAAATTTGTCTGTACCTCCAAAATGCACCTACCCTTCACTTATTTCATCAGTACGAGTACACTCTGAAAGACTTAAATGGCATCTTGAGCCTTTTCACTGTTTTCAAGGTCAGGAATTAGAAAACAGTGCGGACATTTCGACACGGATTTTCAACTTCTTTTTTTTTTTTTTATCGACTGTACAAAGGATAAAAGATATTTGATAGTAATAAACATTTATTTTGATTTATGTTTTAAGGCCAAGTAAGTAATATATGTGTTAAAATACCAAAAGAATATTTATTAATTAAGATTTATTCACCACCTAAAACTTTTTAAACACTGACTCTATAACGTTAGTAATCTTAGGCCTATTTGTAGTCTAATTAGGCCTAACACATAAACGTTACGTAAGGATCAACTGAAACACTACTAGGTAAATTTTATTTTGCTTTTGGCTACAACTCAATGTCACAAAGCTTCTGAATTAAACTATTTTGCTGTTATATCACCGAAGTTATCAAAAAATTAAGTATAAAAACAAACCTTTCTAACAAATGAACATGAATATTGAGCAATCAATATAAACACCATAGTTGGCCTAAAAACAATCAGGTGATAGTTTGTTGTTAAGCAACGATGTACTTTGTTGAGCATTACCACTAAAGGGGCGTGAAAGCGTTCTCGACAGAGTGACAAAGGGAATAAGCCTTTTATAGTTAGTGATTGTTTCATTGCCTGTCAGCAAGCTAATTGGCAGTTTCTTAAGCAGTATTGTAAAGAAATTCTTTCAGCTTTGCTTTATTTATCGTACGTTAATGATGTAGCTTTAAAAGGCTTATATAGTAACACATCCAGAATTACAGCTTATATATATTTAATCTAAACTAAATTCTAGTTTTATCAGCCAATAAATTTGAAAAAAAAAGAGTATAAAACAATATTTTGAATTTCATCTGAATGTGCTCAGTAACCTTAAATAATAATAATATAAGTGAACTCAGGTAACAATATACAAGTGAACTCAAGTACAGTTATAAGGTGGTAAATACACGACTACTGAGAGGATCCCCCCCCCCCCCCGTATCAGAAATACATGTATGGTTCTAATCACTAACCTTTATCACTGTCACATTTGAACAGCATTAGCAAACCTAAAAACGCGTAAACTCTTGTAAATTAACGTTTCAGATAACAAGAAACTTCAACGCGCAAATATGGAGTGTCAACGATATAAACAAAATGTTATTCTTAGCATTACAACCTTCATATCAAAAGCTGTTATCGATGTATTGTTTTTTTACAAACGCTACACTTTTTTCTATTCATTCGAAAATCAACAGAAAATTTCTTTCAGAACTTTCGCATAAAAGCTGTACATAGACTACCTACATACAGTCAGCCATAATTTTGAAATGATAGACTAGAGAGAAAATGTAGCTTGTTAACGGAACACACTGCCAAATTTTGTGTCATTTGACTGTGGCTCTTACAGCGCACCTACGGTCCCAATGGAACGCATTTTTGCGGCAACAGGAGATAAAGTTCAAACTAGCGTGAGCTTCGAAAAGTTAACCCTCAACTAGTAGGGTGGGGTCAGAATGGCCCAAATCGGTTTTTCAAGTCGATATTCCAACTCAGCTAATGCTGGTATCTACCTAATATTTTCTGCGCTCTATCCTCAATCAGTTCTTGAGTGTTGCGCAGAGTGGATGTGCTGTCACAATTTTCTTTCTTACTATTGTAATCGTTTGTGGGTCATTTTGATCCTACCGTATTATAAAGGCAATATTTTTGAAGTTTATCACACTTGGGTCATGTTAACCCACCCTATCATTTATAATATAAATATTTTACCTTTCCAGTTGAGGGTTAAAGAATACGTTAGCCTTATTGATCAACAGCTTATGCCGGAGAATGTGCTGCCAAATCTCATCATGACCAAATTCGACCCCTTTGATTGTAATAGCGTGTGTATAACGTACATGAGAATAAAAATTCAGCGTTCTAGAAGAATAACGTAATCCTATAAAAATTATAATGTGGTTTGTAACCATTCCTTCATTTCCTTTGAGCATATTGACCAAGTTCATATATTAATTCATTATCATCTTCTTGTTTTTAAAATTAGGAAGAACTGGAATAGAATATGGACGAGATATAACTTAGCACATACTGCTTGTTCCAACTAGGAGAGAATTTGGACTGGAGTTGGAACACGGCAGTAACATTAAAAGTTGGGCATTGACAACAAGTACATAATTGAATAAATAGAGTTGTTAAACAACAAGTAAAAGCGCATATTTTGCAAGCTACTGTTCGATGTTATCAAACGTCATGAGTAGCACTTCTTGAAAAGGGGATAGATTTGTGTCGCTGCTAGACCTCCCGTTTTGATAAGAAGTGGGCCCACCTTTGGAGGTTATCACTCCAGATTGTGTTATACCACTAACCGTTGATAGACATCGAATGGACAAACTGTCAATATTCTTATAAAACGGTTCCAAGTAAAGTGACGTTTCGAGATCTGATCCAAAAAGTCTCAGAATGGTTTACTTGGATTCAGGTCCAAATTCTAGGATGTCCAATCCAAATTCTGAGTTACCTTTGTTTCAAACCATTCTCTTGGCCTTGGTATGTCATAGTACGTCATTGTTTTAAAGAATTCTGTTTGACATAGTGTACAGTAGGACACAGTGCGTCAGTGTTCGAAACTATTCTGTTGAACATTGCGTGAAGTAAGGCATAACAAATCATTGTTTCAAATCATTTTGTTGGATATTGTCTACAGATTCATATATAGTGCATCAGTGTTTGAAACCATTCTGTTGGGCATTGAGTGAAGTAGGAAGTAAGGCATAAAAACCATTTTGCTGAGTATTGTGTACAGCATGACATGGTACATCATCGTTTAAAACCATTTTGTTGAGGATTGTGTACAGTATGACATGGTACATCATCGTTTAAAACCATTTTGTTGAGGATTGTGTACAGTATGACATGGTACATCATCGTTTAAAACCATTTTGTTGAGGATTGTGTACAGTATGACATGGTACATCATCGTCTAAAACTATTTTGTTGAGGTTTGTGTACAGCATGACATGGTACATCATCGTTTAAAACCATTTTGTTGAGGATTGTGTACAGTATGACATGGTACATCATCGTTTAAAACCATTTTGTTGAGTATTGTGTACAGTATGACATGGTACATCATCGTTTAAAACCATTTTGTTGAGTATTGTGTACAGTATGACATGGTACATCATTGTTTAAAACCATTTTGTTCAGCACTGTGTACAGTATGACATGGTGCATCATTGTTTAAAACCATGTTGTTGAGCAAGCACTGTGTACAGTATGACCTGGTGGATTATCATGTTGAAACAAATATTATCCTTCCCCAATAATTTCCAGCTATGAAGGCAGTTCCACATTGTTCAGAACATCATCACAACATGGCAAAACACTCAATACTATCTTAATTATTATCAGCAGGCAGTCAAAACCCGCTAAAATGCCAGTTCTCTTCACAGTTGGGACTACAGAGTCAAATCCAAAGCATTCCTGGGTTATCATCAAAGTCTGCACCATCCCCAAAGCAAACAATAAGTAAGAGGTTTCATTGGTCCATGTGATGTTCTTCTGCTGATACTCATTTAAATTTTGACACCCAAGGCACCATGAAAGTTAATGTCTTGCTTTTATGGATGTGATGAGTGGTTTATGTAATCCAGCACAGTGGATATACTGACGCATGGGCTTGAGTTTTCACTGAAATCTGGGTGATATATTTATTTCCACATGTGTCGTATCTTTTGGCCACTATGTTTTGAAGTTCTCTAAGATCAAGGAGCGATTATTTTGAGTTGACGAACATTGGAATATCCAGTGGTCTTCCTTTGATTGGTTCAAATGACTCGGACATTCATTATCAACACTATCATTTGTCTTTAAAAGTCTATAAGCTATTTTTCCTAATGATATCTTAATTTAATTGACTGGCTGTGATGGCTACTGATCTTTATAAACACTACACAACGGTGAAATTCAAATGCAAGTTCGGTGAGGATTCACTTAGTATGGATACTGCGCCAATATTTTTAGTGATATAGTTTACATCGAGGATCCCATTACGTCCAGCAACATTGAGTTCGTTTATCAAGATAAGAATGATAAACTTTCTTTGCTGTTGCCAATCGTTTCTTCGTTTTTAACACATTCGTAATTATTGCATATACCCCCCCCCTCCTCAAATGAAAACTTCTTCGGGAAAATGGCCAAAACACTACTAATCTTAACGTAATTAAAAATATTTTGATAACTCCTTATGTGTAGTTTATGGTTGGTTGCTGAGATTGATTCACTTACTTCACTTCTTTCCATGCATTTTCACAAGAGTTTTCTTCCTCGTGGGCTTTCATTTGTTTCGTGTCTGAACTTTGGCCCCGACGTCGAAGCTGACAGACACGTTCATTCAGAGAAGATAATTGGTCAGAAAGGACACTCCAAGCTTGACCACCATCAAGCTTAGGCTCCAGGTCTGCTGATAACCGATACAACTCGGCCAAGTCTTCTTCTGGATTCTGCAGAAATAAGCCATTTCCAAGATTAATTATCACAGTTACTGACATTGAAACTTACATCTAAAACCCATACGAGTTAAAAAATATTTTTCACTTAATATCATAAGTTTTCCCCCAATCATTAAAACAGCGTAACTTATATATGTTCTAAAAGTTCGACAGATCTAATACAGAGAAAATTGTAACAATTTTAGACTAGAATAAGCGTGTCAATTGTCAACATGTTAAAACTTACATCGAACTAGTAAGAAGTCATTTCCTGGAATCGTGTGGTACACATTACAGGGTGACATGTCGTTTGTAAAGGTTGCGAAGTACATTCCAAGTTAGCTATTTGTTTACAGGGGCGAATATCGAGTTAGTTTCCACGAGCTGCAGGTTTCTATAGTTGTTTATAGAAGCTGCAGCAAACAGGTCGTTATAGAGAAATTATAAGTTTTCAAGTGTAAGAGTAAGGGTTAACTAGTGGATTACAGCGACTGAGAACAAACGAGTTACTATCAAGTTAGCAATTTCACTGGCTGAAGATAGATAGTTCATTGCTTATAATAGTTGTGGAAAACAAATATCGCTTTGAAGAACGTTAATTAGTTGTTTTCAAGGGCCACAAAGCGCATTAAGTATCAATTAATTCTTTACAGGAGCTAAGAACCACAAACAAGTCACTGTCGCGATCATCATACTAATTTCAAAGTTCGTAGAAGGGGCTTTGGAGAGAACCATTACTCGTTTCCAAGAGAGGCAGATAACACTACAGAATGTATCTTTACAGGGGCAGCGAAGCACACCCATAAATTGTTGATTGTTTACAAGAACTGTAAATAACACTTCAAGTTAGCTCATCGTTTAGATGGGATAAAGAGAAAAAAAAATCGATTCCAGCCTGCGAAGGAATAGCATTAAGCCTTTCCCTGTCACAACGAGAATAAAGAAATTGAATTACAAGTTACAGAAAGCTTAGCTCCCAGTTACACCCTCGTAACTTCAATACCGCGATCCAAAATGACATGGCAGAAAATATTATGAACACAAAGACATCGGTAGAGATAAATTCTTCATGCACACGTGTTTAGTAGTCAAACTACGTTTGGAGTTCAGATTATTCGGATAACACTATATTTTATTGGTTCTTCAAACGTCTGATTAACAGTTTAATCCGTTAGGCCTTTCCATTTTTTATATTATAATCCTATGCTAGGAGTGGCTCTCGTTATATACATCAATGATCATGGAGGAGTACTTGAGCGAAGACTATTGCAGCCAGGAGTTTTTAAAAGTTACAATAGGTCATGCAGCTGATGCTTCAGTTACAGGTTTGCAGTTTTTGAAAGTATGAAAGGCAAGTTTAACATCAGTATCACATAAATTAAATGACTGTAGTCTCACAGACAGCAACGCCTCTTTTAGCTCTGTCGCTAGGGGGTCTCTTCAACAGTACAAGTCAACAGTTACTGCTACTCAACCTTTGACTTTTCGCCTTTATAAAGTACTTTAGCAATGAAGAATTATGCAAATTAAGAACGTAGCCGGATGTCTATAGAAGAACTGTAAAGGCGTCAACCATTTCGTAAAGAACGAACTCTGAAGTTGGAATATGGGTGGGAATTCACACCAAACCTTTTATCAGTTTTTATGAATATTACCCACAATATTCCATATGCTGTGAATTCGTGTTTTGACCCCTAAGAGATATTGTATAGTTTAAAGTCTACACAGATGACTGTTTTATGTCTAAGTTTTATCTCTAGTATCATTTATTCATATAATACTTAGAGCTAAGTACAGAAATTAATTTACCTATATATCTTATATCTATGTTAGTTTCGTACACTTATTTGGTCCGATAAAAAAGTACCAGAGATTTTCGGACCGTTCTTTTCCGAAGGATTGTTTGTTTGTTTTGAATTTCGCGCAAAGCTACACGAGGGCTATCTGCGCTAGCCGTCCCTAATTTAGCAGTGTAAGACTAGAGGGAAGGCAGCTAGTCATCACCACCCACCGCCAACTCTTGGGCTACTCTTTTTACCAACGAAT